TCCTCTTACAGCCTCAAGACGGTGTTGCCCGTTTGGCTGTCCTCAGCCTACGGCCCTCCCACCATCTCGGGAGGTCTCTCCTCAAACCGAGCTCCCACAGCCCGGGCCCCCTGGCCCTTGGCCGGTGTCCCCTCTACCACTTTAGACCGTGGCTCCTCCTCCCGGAATCCCCTCCGTTCTCTAGGCTCGGGCCCTGAGACTCTACTCCGCAGCTTCGGGCCATGACTCCTTCGTCCTCTCAGCGTAGGTCCCCGCCGACCCCTCGGCGCGGTTCTTACCCAAACAGGCCCGAGAAGAAGGACTGCGAGTTCTTCACTTTGCGCTCCGCCTCGGCCAGCAGCGCCATCGCCTCCGCTTCTTTCCCGGAGTTGTCCATGGTGGCCGCAACGGTACTCAGCAAACGGCCGGACCCGGGCCCACGGAGTACTCAGCCGAGGCCCGGCCGCGGTAGTCAGGTCGGGGGAAGCTTAGCGGGCGGCGTTGACGTCGCACCGGCGCGCGCCGCCTGCTGCCCGGCACCATGTGATCTGCGCCGGCCAACCAGCGGTCTGGTAGCGAGGTGCGCCCCTGCCGGCCACGCCCCCACCGGCAGGGGCACACCGCCTCGTGACTCACCGTCTCCAATCGGCGAGCCGCCGCTTCAACGCTTGCGCAAACAGCCGCGTAAGACACCCCACTCTTCCTGGTGCGCCCTACGATATCCCACGTGACTCGCATAAGCCAATCGTAGTCCCCGCCGTCAAAGACCCGCCCCGAAGTGCCCCCCTCTGGCTCCTGCTCCACCAATCAGCAGCATCCTCCGTCTCGGCCGGTACCTCCCCGCGGAACTTGCGCCCCAGTCAGCTGACCACCGACCCTCACGTGACAGCTCCGGATCCAGGCCGCAAGATACGCCCCGCCCCTGTACGGGTTTGACAGGTCTCTTGCGCACCTCCTAGGCCCCGCCTCCGCGCCTTATCTCGCGTGGTTCTTCACTGGGAGACGCGTAAGCGGGGATGCATCCGCACTAGCTTTTTTTTGGGTTTTTTTTTGCGCCCTCTGCCGACGGATACTGAAACTGGTTTGGGAAGGCAGTAAAGTACTTAGACGGGGAAACAAAACTAAGCAAGGGCTGTCTCTGGTTTAAAAAAAAAAAAAAAAAGCTGTAGCAAGCGTATCACAAATTCAGACACCCAGAGCCCAGATCGTTGTTTTTTTTTTTATTTTTTTTAATGTTTATTTATTTTGGAGACAGAGAGAGACAGAGCATGAACGGGGGAGGGGCAGAGAGAGAGGGAGACACAGAATCGGAAGCAGGCTCCAGGCTCCGAGCCATCAGCCCAGAGCCTGACGCGGGGCTCGAACTCACGAACCGCGAGATCGTGACCTGAGCTGAAGTCGACGCTCAACCGACTGAGCCACCCAGGCGCCCCAGATCGTTGTTTTTAATACCATTGTCCAGTAAAAGGAACCAGGGCTCCTTGATAAATGGCTGCTGTGAGGCTTGGGCAGGAAATTACACAGGATGAGCCTGGAGCATCTCGTAGTGCCAAAAGGGAAATTTCGTGTGTCATACACACACACAAATGGTAAGGTATGTCAAAGAGACAAAGGAGCCAGCTGGAAGAGCTGCCCGTGGCCAAAGCTGGAACAATTCGAGCGATACAACGAACTAGGAAGAGATTATAATCCAATGTATAAAATATCCCCGAGCCCATGTTGGTTTAAGTGAACGGTCGAACACATAAAATGGGGAGAACAGACAAATATTTCATGCAGAAGAGCTCCAAATAATTTATGTAGATGCTCCTTCCTCGAGAAGGTGAAGGGAAACTCCTCACTCCTTAGGGGACCGTTCGCAGTGATTTCCCTCCAGAGTGCAGTGTGGGAAAGGAATGGGGAGACCAAGTTTCCAGTGGAGAAACCTGCATTGTCAGCCAGGTGCTTGAGGTGAACACCTACGGTGGTGAGTCACGGTGACATAGTGTACTTTCAGTAATGAGAAGCCGGTGGCACTTCACCTCTGTGGTCTCTCTCCCCATCTATCCCCATCAGACAAATCCCAGTTGAGGCACAGTCTTGGAAATACTTGACCAGGGTTTTCAACACTGTCAAATCACTAAGAACAAGGAAAGTCGAGAAACTGTCTCAGCCAGAGGAGCCTACGGAGACATGACTATTAAATGTAATGTGGTATCCTGGGTGGGATCCTGAAGCAGAAGATGAATATTAGGTAAGAACTAAGGAAAGGTGAATAAAAGTATGGACCTTAGTTCATAACAATGTGTCAATATTGGTTCGGTAATTGTAACAAATGTGCCACAGTCATCTAGGATCTTAGTAACAGGGGGAACTGCCTATGGGGTATATGGGAATTCTCTGTATCATTTTCAGCCTTTCTGAAAATCTAAAATCCACTCTACTAAGATTCTTTTTTAAAAAATCTAAGTTCTTGGGGGGCCTGGGGGGCTCAGTTGGCTGAGCATCTGACCTTTTAAAGTTTTTTATTTACTTATTTTTGAGAGAGACCGAGACAGCATGAGTGGGGGAGGGGCAGCTAGAGAATCCCAAGCAGGCTCCGCGCTGCCAGCACAGAGCCCGATTCGGGGCTCGAACCCACGAGACTGTGAGATCATGACCTGAGCCGAAACCGAGAGTCGGATGCTCAACGGACTGAGCCACCCAGGCGCCCCTAAGTGTCCGACTCGATTTCGGCTCAGGTCATGATCTCATGGTTGTGAGATTGAGCCCCGAGTCGGGCTCTGTGCTGACAGTGTGGAGGCTGCTTGTGATTCTCGCTCCCTCTCTCTGCCTCTCCCCTGCTCCTGTGTGTGCACGTACGCGCTCTCTCTCAAATAAACTTAAAAAAAAAAAAAATCAA